TTCCCCTGGAAGCCAATTTCTCAGACTAAGATTTGCAATTTTATGAAATCAATTCCTATACAAGATCTGCCTGAAAGCCAGCTCTCAGTGTGATGTTGATGCCCAGACCTCTCCCCGGCACATTATACATACTCTTCCCTCTTACGGGGGGGGGGGTGGCTGGAAGCTGGAAGTCTTAGCAGTGATGGGGGAGGGGGGCGGGGGTGGCTGGAAGTCTTAGCAGTGAGGTGACTCAGCCAACTGTGTAAAGACTTCTCAGTACCCCCCCCCTCCCCCCCCACCCACTCCTCTCAACACCCCCCCCCCTCCTACCTCCCCCCCCCCGTAAAGAGTTCTGACCCCCCCCTGCCCTTGTTGCAGGGAAACCGTCAAACCCTTGACATGGTTTATAAACTGTCTTGAAAGTTTATAAACTCTTTGCTGTTGATACTCAACATGACTTGTCACCCACAAACAAATATGCAGCAACAGCACACTTCTTGCGTATATATGCTCACACCCCCTGTCTTTAAAAATAAGAGGGTTTTGTACATTTTGAAGTGGAAAGGTAGGCCCTGGGGGGGGGCGGGTGAGCATATATATATATATATACAGTCTGTGCATACTTATGATATGAACCACTGACGTGTGTTTCCTTTTTGTCTTTACACTGGATATTTTAGTTGATTGGGAGGTTTTGCTCGAGGCGCGGCGCACCAAAATGTTCCATCAAGCCAGGGAGCCCAGCCAAGTTTGCCACTTGGGGAAGAACATCTGTCACATGGCTCATGTGAGGCTGTGGCACATGCAGGTCTGAAGCTCGAATATCTTCAAAGCTTAATTATGCTGTTCCACTTCTGGGTTGATGTCAATCAACCTGGGCTTCATCAATCTTGAGCTGCCACACTTGCACACGCGATGAATGTCCGATTGCCAAGCTCAAGCTACACAAACCCGGAAGGCGACAATGACCTGATCGACGCTTACATCAAGGAGCGTCGCATGTATGATGCGTCTATTGCACTGATGCCTTCTTTGAGCCATGCCTCTTTTACTTGAAGCAAACATGAGAGATAGTCCAATACTCCTTGGCACCATGAGACGGCAGAACATCTAAGCCCCGATACAGTTTAGGATTCCAGCTTTGGACATCCAAGTGGACAGATTGGTGCTGAGAGTACTTTTCACTTGGCTGGAGCTCACCCCAGATGGCAAATGCAAAATCTGCATCATAGCAACACACGGGAAACTTCGCTGTGGCTATGGTACAGCAGCTGCATGCTCCTAGACCTGTAGCAATCTCACTTCTCTTCTGTTTGGTGCAACACCTTTTGGGCCTTGATTTGGCTTGAAGTGGAGCTGTCAGCCTCCCACAACTGCTACCCTCCGGTTCTTACACGGCAGACACATTGCTCCCAGCATGCCTTGTGCATGTACGTGCTGGGCTTGTTTCAGGTGTTTCTGGCAAGGCAGACCCGTGATGCAAATGCCTTCCATCCGCCTGCACAGATGACTCGATTGGATTTGCTTTGCTCTCAATGGTTGAGCTGCAGTTTCGCAAAATGGTCAGGAGACATCCCACCATGGCCAGGCTGGGCGCATGCGGACTGATTATACACGTTTTTCGCGCCCTACCTTCTAGATTTGCCCAGGAGAAGAGCGGTGAGGCCCGGGCCATGTCTCGTGTGGCCTGTGCTTGTGGCATGCGATTGGTCGAACATTGAGCCTGGGACCTGCACAGTTTGCAGGGCCGGGGCCACGCTCTGCGAGGCAGGAGAGACTGCGCTGAGAGGATTTAGATGGCACAGCAACATTTTAGAAGATTTCAAGCAGTAATATCAGACATTCCAAGCTACCAAAGCAAGGTGTGAGAGGAGTGGACTTAGAATGAAAGAAGAAAGTAATTGGAGAAGATAGCTAACCCAACGTCAACTCAAGAAGCTTGGTAAAGGTACTATTCACAACAGCCATTCTGCATCCTTTTGGGTAGACCGCCTCTTCTATGAGCACTTTGACAGGTGGAGACAAGCCGGGCCATGTGCCACCGGCATGTTTGCCAGGATTTCTGAAGAGGGATTTGCAAGTGCCAGGCATGTTCACAGCTGCAGGGAGAGCGAGAGAGAGAGAGAGAGAGAGAGGGAGAGAGAGAGACAGAGAGACAGAGAGAGAAAGAGAGCGAGAGCGAGAGAGAGAGAGAGAGAGAGAGACAGAGAGAGAGAGAGAGAGAGAGCGAGAGGGACAGAGATGATGTTGTTTGTCACAAGCACTGTATTTTACCATGGAACGGGGCTGATTTTGGTGAGGAACGAAACCAGTACATTTGTATTCAGAGAGAACTGTGACGGTTTGAAGAGCCTGCAATCAACTTTTGGGAGGTTGTCACAGTGAAGTTGGACTCCGACCTGCAGGCTTGTGCGAGAACTTTGCGCTCGTGCGGGGGGGGGTAAGTGTAGAGGCCCAACGCAAAGCCCCTCTTTTGGCCCAAGAAGAGTCCGTGATTGAAACCTGGAGTCAAAGTTCAGGAGGTCCAAGCCGCACCAAACCTGTCTTCCTGGACGTCAGACGAGGTGGCAGAATCGCCCAAGTGAAGGGCAGCTTTGACGCTTGGCTTGGAGCTGGCAAAATGCGCTGCGTCTAGCCGGCTTTCGCGCATTTGTGTGTTGCCAGAAGGTGATGCAAGCAACGCACTCTCTGTTGGATTATGCAAAGGAATGGCGGAATGTCGTTGACGTGTGCGCATCGTAGCCACTGGGAACATTGCCGCAGCTTCGGCTTTGAGACTGCCGCTCTAGGCAGCTTGCTTTGTGGAATTCCAGCATAAGCCCAGCCAGCCACTCGACATCTGCAGTACTCACAGATCCTCGCAGAATCCCAGTTGTTCCAAACCTGGACTTGGTTTTATGGATTCAAAGGCTTTGATCTCATTGCCATTTGTACTAGTTTGTGACCCGCCCTGTTGGGCGTGGTTCAGCCAACAGAGCAACTTCTGGAACGACACCTAAGATCTCTACGCAGCATATGCTGCCTTGCCTGCGCCTATAGCTAGCGCTTGCAACATGGCGAGTGAGGAGGCAGGTCGATGGCAGTGAGATTTTGCATTTTGCTTCGAAGACATGTGTTGAAGCCAAAACCTTAGGTAAGTGCAGGTTGGTAAAGGGCAGTCCAAAGCAGCCACTGTTGTGACCCTTTGCATGGTTTTGGTGGCGACTCAGATGTTTATTAGCCTTGTCAGGGCGAAAGGGAGGTCACATGAGCACCACGGGTTCCGCTCAGGATGGCCCGATTCAGCGGAAGGAGGAAGAGGAGGAAGAGGAGGAGGAAGAGGAGGAGGAGGAGGATGAGAGAGCCTTGCTTCAGGACACCGTTAAGCCACTCGGACTGCAACATTTCATTCAGTCCAACACGTGATTTGCTGCCCAGGTTGTCTGTGCGGCAGGAGACGGCTCAGCTCAAGTCTGACCTAGGCTTGGCGTCAAGACATTGGGGGATGGTGTACATAGAAAGACACGGGATTTGTGTAGGAAGATTGATGAAATGAATGACCTCTGCCTTTGCTGCCTAACTGCCTGCTATCGTGGACTGAAGACACACTGTGCAAGGGAAACCCATCCTGCATCATATTTTGTGGGGAAAGCGCCTAACTTGACCAACCAACCCACATGAGGCTCCTGTTGCTTCCTTGCAGGCCTCGAGATCAAGCTCATCAAGAGCCATTTGGCCGAGCTGGGCGCAGAGATCGCTGAGTTGAAGAGTGTGGAGAACGCCACTCCTACGCCAGGTGTGCCGGACGACAAATTAGAGGAGCTGCAGCAGCAGCTGACGAACTACCGAAAGGAAAGCTCTCATCGAGCAGCAAAGCATAGGGCATGGGGAGCCGACATCGAAGTCAAACTGGCCGCTGCGGTGCAGTTCGCCAGAGAGGAGGCTCAGAGCGTTCTCAAGGCACTTACTGGCAAGCTGCAGCAGGAGCAGCAAGACCGACAAAACGATGTTGTGCTTTTGAGGCGCTCGGTACAGGACCTGCTGGACAAGGATGCTGAGGTTTCGTTGGCTGTTCTGCAAGGAGAGCAGAGAGAAGCAGACATTCTCTCACTCAGAACTGATCTTGACACGCTTTCGCTGATGGTGCAAAACATGTGCACGGAGAAGGCAGAAGTGAAAGCTTTCAGATCGCCAGAAGATTCAGGAGTTGCAGATGATGCAATCAGTGACCTGAGTATTTTCAGCGAAACGTGCGGGACCCCCTCTCCGGGACACTTGCAAGAGATATCCAGGCACAAAGAATCCGATCCTGAGGCAACCTACGTGAGGAATGGTTCTGGGCGAAGCACCCCGGCCAGCTCCTGCCTTGTCAAGCGCAAGGTCCCTCGGGGCCGGCGTCATCGCTGTTGGCGGACATGCCCTCAGTGTGCCACGCAGTCCCGGGCCGTGAAGGTTCCCGCGCAGTCGCTGTCCAGCAGCTTCGACTTCGCGGACTCGTACCAGTCGCGCCAGTACCAGTCGTACCAACCGCGCTCCTCGGACGTGCATGAGCTGGTGGCGAAGATCGAGGCCGCGTGCTCGGCGTGAGCGCATCGAACGCGAAGCTTGCGAGCAGGCGAAGCTGCTCGTTCCCCGTTTGTGTGCCACTTGATACGGGCACCTGCTGACATGTTTGCCGGTATTGAACAAATGTTTCTGTGTATTTGTTGGTGCATCATGAAAACCGTGTGACAGCCTGCCAGCAGGGGAAACATTCCCCTCCTGGCAGCTTGGCACAAACTCCAGGGCCGAAAAAAGCCAAGCACCCCACCAATCATTTAGAGCTTGTCCTGTCAACAAGTTGCTTTCCCTGGCTCAACCACGCATGGTGTCTCCACTTTGGTCTCAAAGGAGTGTAGGCTCCCTCCGCTTGTATTGAAGACTCGGCAATGGCTCTCCGCTTGGCCGTGATTTGTGAGCTCGTGCTGCTGGGATCGGCGGCGCTAATCCGCGGATCCAACCAGCAGCAAGAGGAGTCGCAGGACGGCGTGTTCTTCCCGAAGACTGTGCTTGGAGATGGCAAATCCGTGGTTGGCGTGGACGTGGACGGGCGCACGCAGATGCTCGTGCAGGTGAAGGTAGCCGCGAGTTACGTAGATGCTTGCGATGATGTGGTGTGCGGCGATCTGAAGTGTCCAGCTGGCTTTACTGCCACGAAGTACGAGGGTCACTGCTGCCCGTACTGCGTGAATCCGGACATCAAGATCGAGCCAAAGATTGTCGGGGCCACGGGCAAGTGGGGTGCCGAGATGAGCGCCTTTTGCCCGTATGTTTGGTGCTTTCCCACATTGTGCGAGAAGGAGCTGGTCATGCCAACTTCGGACAATGGCCAGTGCTGCCCCATGTGCCCCAAGTGAGGGCCGAGAGAGGTGGGCAAAGTCTCTAGGAGAGGAGCAGCAGACTTCTGCGCTGCGTTTGCATTTTCACGCACTCGACTGTCAAATAGCACCAAAGCTTCACTGACGGATGCAAGACGGCGCAACATGTGGGAAGCAGCCAGCAGCCGTGCAATTGTCTTGCTCAACCACTTCTCAGTTTGTGTTTGCATTGTGACCTTAGGAACCTCTGAGCAGGTTTGTTTCTCCCATCACATTATCATGATCCAGCGCCTTGTGTGTGGTGTTTGCCATCATGAGCAGGCAGCAAGCCTGAGCCAGCAACTCCCTGACTCAATGCACAATGCAATTCATAGGATGCGAACCCAAGATGCATTGGTGGGCTTGATGTCAACTATCGAAAACCCGTGGCTCGTTAATTGCTGCACGCTGTGCTCGGTCTCAAAGGAGTGTAGGCTCCCTCCGCTTGTATTGAAGACTCGGCAATGGTTCTCCGCTTGGCCGTGATTTGTGAGCTCGTGCTGCTGGGATCGGCGGCGCTAATCCGCGGATCCAACCAGCAGCAAGAGGAGTCGCAGGACGGCGTGTTCTTCCCGAAGACGGTGCTTGGAGATGGCAAATCCGTGGTTGGCGTGGACGTGGACGGGCGCACGCAGATGCTCGTGCAGGTGAAGGTAGCCGCGAGTTACGTAGATGCTTGCGATGATGTGGTGTGCGGCGATCTGAAGTGTCCAGCTGGCTTTACTGCCACGAAGTACGAGGGCCACTGCTGCCCGTACTGCGTGAATCCGGACATCAAGATCGAGCCAAAGATTGTCGGGGCCACGGGCAAGTGGGGTGCCGAGATGAGCGCCTTTTGCCCGTATGTTTGGTGCTTTCCCACATTGTGCGAGAAGGAGCTGGCCATGCCAACTTCGGACAATGGCCAGTGCTGCCCCATGTGCCCCAAGTGAGGAGCGAGAGGTGGGCAAAGCAACGTGGAGAGTGCAAAACCATGTCGAAGCGAGTAGAATGTAGAGTCGGGATGTGTGTTCTTTTTCTCGGCATTCGGGGCTGAATTGCAGCACATCAGCACCATGTGCCCAGTTTTGTTGAGGGATCGAGCATGCAATGCGTGTGTTCGGATTCAGTGCCGGCCGATGACTTCGTAGAACGGGGCTTCTCCGGCGTTCCAGCCATGGCGGCCAGACACTTGGTGTCTGGTGTTTGGCTGCCTGGTTGCTTGCGTCGTCAGTTTTACATGCGCAGTTTGCAGAATCCCAACCTTCCTATGATCGCTACCAATCATTTGCTTTGCGAGTACGTTGTGTTGAGTGAATGTTCTTTGCTCTCGCCTTTTGCAGCTGTATCAACTTCTACCTTGAACATCCGTTCCAACATGCACTTGCAGGGATTCTAGCGAAGGAGAGTCCACGGGAATCCCGCATATCGGCTCGTGGAACCTTGACACCCAGGTTCCACAACGACCCCCCAACTTGACAACGCGTTCACCTGCAACGGCTCTGAGGCGGTCATGAATTTTGCCCGCGAGGAGACGGACCCCCTCACCCTGCCAGAAGGCCCCCGGGGCCCTTGGCCCGGCGCCTAGTGTCGGCTGGGCACGGCTCACGGGCCGAGATGAAACTCACGCTAGGAAATCGTATTGATTTCCCAAACTGGCACTTGGCAGAGGATGAATCGGGGTAATTGTGGCTCGTGGATGCCTCATTTTCGTTCCGCCTCTGCCCAGGGCTCAAGGCGGGAAGCAGCGCTCGACTCAGACCTCGCTCAGGGGAAACCATGAACATCTAAACCAAGCGGATCTCCTCGGCACTGGCACGGGGCTTTCCAGTTTTGCAATGCCCAGTCCCGGCCCCAAGGAACAAGAAGGCATGACCGGATTGCATACCTCTTGCAGCCGTGGGCTCACGACAGTGAGCGATAGAGGCCCAACTTGGGAGGCCAGGTCCACGGAAGTCAAATGAATCAACAGGCCTTGCTCAGAGGCTTTGGAGCAGTCCCAGCAAGCAAGCAAGAAGCTCCTTGGCTGGAGCAACCTTGGCGTTTCCCTCTCTTTTTGCTGCAAGAACATCAATGCAGTACAGTATGCCAAGACTGGTTTCTTGTTGCCTTTCCCAGCCACAGCATAGTGCTACACAGTGCGGGACATGCAGCCGGCAATGCGGAGATCTTACGCGCAGCTGCTGGTTGGAGTGGCAGCTACGTGCGAGACCGAGGTCGTTGTCCTGAAGCTGAGCGCCCAAAACCCTCGGGAAGTCTAGTAAAGGCAGTAAAGTATCGTCGGTCTAGTCCCAGGAGTCGAAAGATGTGTTTCGGGCGCTCGGCTTGCATACGCAAGGTATCACACATTTAGTTTCGAGCCGCAAACATGTGGTGTGGTGCAACGGACTTGTACGTTGGGCTTGTTTGTAAAAGGGGCGGTACAGAAAACATTATAAAGTAGCCAAAATAAAACTGAGGCGATGATGCCGATTGAAGCCGCCCTTTGATTTCCTGTTGGGTCAACTCCGAAGTTCAAGGCACTCGATCGGTGAGGCTTTGGTGGCGCCATGGTGAAGCATCGGTGCCCAGCAGCCCTTGGCCACTCAGGCAACGAGTGCGGAATTTGCTCCCTCCACAAAATTGGCGCACTCAATGAGGAGCCGTTTGGGGACTCCCTGTTGAGGCGACACAACTTTACATTCCCCAAAAGCGACCATACCTTTTACCACCAATCAACAAGGGGTCAAATTAGATGTTGGATACAGGCTGTTTGAGGAGTGTGTTGCTAAAATGTGAGAGATGACGCTGCTGATGCAAACTTGAAACGCCGGCTGACTCCGAGCGAGACGTGTTTCTCTGATTTCACATAAGCAACTGACAGCTTCATGGGTGGTCTGTGGTTAGTTTAGGGCGGACATAAGAGGAACATGGCAATTCCCCATAAGCTTGACTCAATCGACACAATCTGTTTAAGTCAGACTGGATTCATAGGGTGTGCCCAACGGTTGAGTGTTGGGCTGCAAAGCTTCCAACTGGATGGAGACTTTACTTTGAGCCCTGGTTGGAGAACGCAATGATATACAGTCAGGAGCTGCAATTTCAAGCAACATCCACCAGGACCAGATTTGATGAACCACAGCGCACTCTTGTATGGATGCAAAGAGGGTAGCCAAGGCTATCAGCAGAAGAGTCAGAAGCGGTTGGTAGGGCACACTGTGTAGAGGCACGCCACTACATTCACCGCGCTAGCCCTAGTGGAGAACAACACTTAGCACTATTTATGTGTAACATATATATATATATATATGGGAGTCGTTCTAAAGGTCCTTGTAAGGAGTTTAGTATTCGGTGACCATCGGTGTTGGTTGAGGTAGCTCCGCGAAAGATTCGCGATGGAGTTGCGAAAGTAACTTTTTTTCTCGCGAAAGTTTTGCGTAACTGCCTGGACCTTCCATTGATACCTTTTTTCTTGCTCGCTTTTTTTTCTGCTCGGACACGCAGTTTGTGCCCGAGTCTTCAATTTCTGCCCGAGCAATGAAAAAGTGCCCGAGATTATATTCTCAAACGAGCACTTTTTCAAATTTGCGCTCGTTTGCGGGTTTTTGCGCTCGTTTTGCGGGCCGTTGCGGGCGTTTTTGCACACCATTTCTGCTCGAGTAGGTCATGTTAGGACCTGACAGCCCGCATGCCTCCAAAAACTGCAAGAAAACAAGGTACGAATTGCAAAAACCAGCCGATTGACAGGGGAGGCAGAAATTTCAGGTACGTTTGAAGGTCCAGGTGTATCTGGTTAATCAATGATATGTGGAACCGTTCATCTTTTCTGCTGAGCCTTCCTTCTATTCTGATTAAAACACTTTGTTGATGTTGCGCAAATTAAGCCTGGTGAGGCTACAGTTTGATACCCTGCTTGGCTGGTTAGTGCTCCAAGCCTGTGTATGTGTGTCTGTGGGTGTTAGTCGGTGGCTTTCCGCTCTGAAACGTGGGTGATTTTTCGCGAAAGTTCCGCGAAAGATCCGCGAAAGCCCGCGCGAAAGCGCAGGCTTCGATTGCAAGGGGAGGTATAGTCTGAGCGCCGATCTAGTCAGTATACTAGCTTGGTACTGGAAATCTGCGACTTCAAGCTGGAGCTGCACGGCGAACGAAAAGCTGCGACTTTCCAGCCGGCGCATGTCATGTACTACCCCTGTGATGAAAAGTTGCGACTTTACAGCTGGAGTTGGGAAATCGTCATTTCGCTTACAACGCTGGCACTTAAAAGCTGCGATTCTCCGACTCGAGAAATGAAAGAGCACGGCGATGAATCCGCGAAAGATTCGCGAAAGTAACTTTTATATTCGCGAAGAATGGCCGTTTCGAGACAAAGGAATTTAGATCAACCACCATACATATACATACACCACCCCCCCCAACCCGCGCCTGCTGCTTGTGTAAGGGGGTCGAGTCAGTTTAGTCAGGAATTACCACAGGTGGGCTCATTTCACAATTTGGCAGACTTTCCCAGATGATTCATTAAGACTTTGCCACCTATATAAGTTCGTTACTCGATCTAGTCAATTGGACAATTAGAATCACAAGCAAAGTTTGGTACAGTGCAAAAACGAAGCTAGGTAACATGTCATATTACATAGGGTCTGGACCATAATATGTCATACACACATCTCTGAAGTTTTCAAGAATGTCAGGCAAGCAAAACACAATAGAAATCGTGATGTTCTCTCAATATGTCCAGATGAAATGTGTTTTGGCATGTCTTCATCGCTAATGTTGTCCTCACTCGATTGGCTGTAAACATCTCTGTGAGGGTACCCGCGCAAGTGTATCAAAGCAAAGGCAAACCATACCTCTTCTGCTTCGTCTACACATCTTCGATTTCTCATCAGTTGAGCAGTTCCTCTTCGTCCGTCAACTTACAAACCTGTGGCAATACCAAAACCGCTGCTACGCATCCTTCATCTCTCATCTCAACTCATCTGCAAATCCCCTTCGTCTGTCAGCTCACAAACCTCGGCCAATACCAAAACATTTGCGCACACCTCATATGCCCTGACAAATGCCACGCTGTCTGCTAAAATAACTAATGTCCCTGAACAAAATATGTTCTGCGCAAAACCGCTGCCAAACAACATGTAAATCACTGGTATTTATATCCAAGGTGTGGAGTTTTTACAGTCATTCAAAGAAACATATCCAAGGTCCATATGTTAAGCTATCATTTGTATTTACCGAGCACAAGTCGGAAAGGATACTAAGGTGCACACCCAAACAGGAATGACTGAAAGCAGACGCTTTAAAGCGCTCTTGGATCTAAGACTCAAGATTCAAAATTCCCCCAACTCTACATCTCGAATCTTGAATGCAGAATGCGATTCCCCCCCCGAAACGCTTTAAAGCGCTTTAAAGCCTAGTTGGATCTAAGATTCAAGATTCAAGATTCCCAGCACTCTAGATCTGATTCCCAGTCCGGGGAATCTTTAATTTTGAATCTTAGATCCAACAGTGCTTTAAAGCGTTTTAGGTGGATACAGTCACAGTCAAAATATGGTGCCTGAAAATGGGGTGGACATCGCGCAGAAGTACTGCACATACCGTCAAGTTCGCTTGGCTTTTTTTTGGGGGAGGTACCATATATGTTCCAGGCCGTGGACCCCCCCCCCCCCCCCCCCCCCCCCCCCCCCCCCCCCCCCGGGGGGGGGGGGGGGGGGTGGGGGGGGGGGGTTGGGTGGGTGGGGTGTTGGGTTGGTGTGGTTCGGAGTTGGTTTAGGTGGTTGGTGGGTAGGGTTGGTTCAGGGTTGGTTCAGGGTTGGTTTGCGGTGGGTTTCGGGTGGGTTTGGGGTTTGGGTTGATTTAGGCTTAGGGTTGGGGTTAAGGAGGGGTTGCAGGGTGGTTTGGTTTAGGGTAGGATGTTGCGAGAGGTGCGGGGGTGTTGGTTCACGGGGTGAAAGGGGGAGTCTGGGACCGAAGCTGCAGGGCTCACACGGTACTGGACAGCATCCCCAGCATTGCCAGCATCATCCCCAAGATGCGGATGATGCGGGGGAGCGGGGGGACCATACCATTGGGGGGGGGGGGGGTACGTGGCCCAGGGACTGGTACATATATATCGGTATATGTCAATATTACATATGTACATTTCTGGACCACGGATATGCATGCATGTATAGTTGTTTGTATGTACCGTACGCATATCTATGCATGCATGCATAGTTGTTTTATATATCGTACGCATATCTACCTCTCTCCCTCTGTCTTTTTCTATATATCTGTATATCTATATATCTATATATGTATGCACATGTGTGTATATCTAATTTGAGATGGGGTACAACGCTTGTGGAGATCGATCTAGGGATCTTCTGCAGGCGGAGAGAGCTCCTGCGCCTGGCCTGGGCTCCGGTGCCGGCGCCGGCGCTGGCAGCAGGCTGCGTCTGTCGGACCGCGCTGGGAAGGGACGACCAAAATGCGACGAGTCAGGTTTGGTTTTTGGGGTCATGTGCCCCAGAGGTGTAGGTGTGCGTCACAAGCAGCAGGATCACTCTTTGAGCCTTTTTTCAAGAAAGCCACCAGAGACGAAAACATGACCAACAATGGGGACGGGGTCCTTTGTTTTACCACACCTCATTCAGCTTCATTCGTATCGTACCCAATCTGTCGTCTGCCCTTGTGCAGAGGCATGAGCAGGCGTTCGGTCACGTGTTGCGCAAATCAGGCCGTGGCCCGCGCCTGGCCTGAGGAACGCTTTGCGAGTTGGGAAGTCCCTTTCCC